GTGGAGCTGCCCTCTGCCAGCCATCCCGGAAGGACGAGGGAGGCCACCTCTAGACAGGTGAAATGGGATGTCTCGTTCCTCTCAACATCACGTTCTTGGACCTGAATCCCAGGGAGCCTACAAAGGCTTGGAAACCTCCCTGGGGGAGGGTGTGGGAGACGCTGCCTCCAGAGCTTGAAGGTAGGTTGGAAATTTGGCTGGCAAGTATCATATGGCAGGTGCCACAGGAGCACGGCCACTCACCCAGATCTTGCTGACAGCTCATTACATCTGGGCTGATGTGGAGAGGTCTGTTCTTCTGCTAGGTCTGTCTACTCTTGCGGTGGAGAGAAGGGCCAGAAAGAAAGGAATATGCTCCCAAGGTGAGCACAGTAGCAGCTGTGGCTTATAAAACCACTGGCCCTGGGACCTGCTGGAGATGAGTTCAGGCAGTGTGGACCCCCAGACCCCAGCACAGTCAGGGACACCACTGGGGCACACAACCCCCATCAGTGCTATCCAGGAAAGGGGCAAAGGAAAGGTTTTCCTTTAACCATGGAGAAAACTTGGGATTTCATTGTGAATCTGTCACTTGTACCCCTAAACCAAGCAGAGCCAGGCAGCATTGAGGTTATACATATAAAAATTATTTATTGTCTTTCTATCCATTTCTGTTTTCCAAAATCCACATTGACATTGAATATAAAGCAATATTTTGCTTTTACCTTGAATATAAGGCAATATAGGCCTAGCACAGTGGCTCACACCTATAATCTCAGCCCTTTGGGAGGCCAAGGCAGGAAGATAGCTTAAGCCTAGGAGTTCAAGACCAACCCGTATAACAGTGAGACCTGTCTCTACAAAAGAAAAAAAAAGAAGAAGAAAAGAAAAGAAAGAAAAAAGAAAAATTAGCTAGGTTTGGTGTCACACACCTGTGTCCCAGCTACTTTAGAGGCTGAGACCAGAGTATGGCTTGAGCCCAAGAGTTTGAGGCTGCAGTGAGCTATGATGACACCACCGCACTCCAGTATGAGTGACAGAGCAAAACACTATTTAG